ATTGATCAAACATGCAATCAAGATGCATTGATAATTACTGGTGAATGGAATGCAAAAGTTGGAAACAAAGAAGAAGGATCAGTAGTTGGAAAATACAGCCTTGGTGATAGAAATGACACCAGAGATCGCATGACAAAATTTTGCAAGACCAACGACTTCTTCGTTGCAAATACCTTTTTTCAACATCATAAATGGTGACTACACATGTGGACCTCACCAGATGGAATACACAGGAATCAAATCGACTACATCTGTGGAAAGAGACAATGGAGAAGCTCAATATTATCAGTTAGAACAAGGCCAGGGGCTGACTATAAAACAGATCATCAATTGCTCATACGCAAGTTCCAGTTGAAGCTGAAGAAAATTAAAACAGGTCCACGAGAGCCAAAGCATGACCTTGAGTATATTCTACCTGAATTTAGAGACCATCTCAAGAATAGATATGATGCATTGAACACTAATGACCCAAAGACCAGACGAGTTGTGGGATGACATCAAGGACATTATACATGAAGAAGGCAAAAGGTCATTAAAAAGACAGGAAAGAAAGAAAACACTAAACTGGATGTCAGAAGAGACTCTGAAATTTGCTATTGAACATAAAGTAGCTAAAGCAAATGGAAGAAATGATCACATAAAAGAGTTGAACAGAGTTCAACGGGCAGCGCGAGAAGACAAAAAAAGAGAAGAACATGCTTGGCATTTCTCAAGCTGAAAGAACTAAAGAAAAAAATTAAGCTCAAGTTGCAACATTGTAAGGATCCTATGGGCAAAATACTGAACAACACTCGAAGCATCAAAAGAAGATGGAATACAGAGTCACTGTACCAAAAGTAATTGGTTGACATTCAACCATTTCAGGAGGTAGCATATGATCATGAACCAATGGTATTGAAGGAAGACGTCAAAGCTGCACTGAAGGCATTAGCAAAAAACAAAGCTCCATGAATACCAATTGAGATATTTCAACAAAAGGATGCAGTGCTGGAGGCGCTCACTCATCTATGCCAAGAAATTTGGATGACAGCTACTTGGCCAATTAACTGGAAGAGATCCATATTTTTGCCATTTAAAAAAAGGTGATCCAAGAGAATGCGGAAATTATCGAACAATAATTAATAACACACACAAGTGAAATTTTGCTGAATATAATTCAAAAGTGGTTGCAGCAGTATATCAACAGGGAACTGCCAGAAATTCAAGCTGGATTCAAAGGAGGATGTGGAAAGAGGTATATCATTGCTGATGGCAGATGGATCTTGGCTGAAAGCAGAGAATACCAGAAAGATCTTCACCTGTGTTTTATTGACTATGCAAAGACATTTGATTGTGTGGATCATAACAAATTATGGATAACATTTCGAGGAATGAGAATTCCAGAACACTTAATTGTGCTCATGAGGAAACTTTACATAGAACAAGAGACAGTTGTTCAAACAGAACAAGGGGATATCACATGGTTTAAAATCAGGAAAGGTGTGCATCAGGGCTCTATCCTTTCACCATACTTATTCACTCTGTATGCTGAGCAAATAATCCGAGAAGCTGAAATATATGAAGAAGAAAGAAGCATCAGGATTGGAGGAAGACTCATTAACACTGCAATATGCAGATGACACAACCTTGCTTGCTGAAAGTGAGAAGGACTTGAAGCACTTACTGATGAAGATCAAAGACTATAGCCTTCAATATGGATCACACCTCAACCTAAAGAAAACAAAAATCCTCACAGCTAGACCAATAAGCAACATCATGATAAATGGAGAAAAGATTGAAGTTGTCAAGAATTTCATTTTACTTGGATCCACAATCAACACTCATGGAAAGAGCAGTCAAGAAATCAAACAATGCACTGCATTGGGCAAATCTGCTGCAAAAGACCCCTTTCAAGTGTTAAAAATCAAAGATGTCACTTTGAGGACTAAGGTATGCCTGACACAAGCCATGATATTTTCAGTCACCTCATATGCGTGCGAAAGTTTGACAATGAACAAGGAAGACCGAAGAAGAATTGATGCCTTTGAATTATGGTGCTGGGGAAGAATATTGAATATACCATGGACTGCCAGAAAAACGAACAAATCTGTCTTGGAAGAAGTACAACCAGAATGCTCCTTAGGAGCGAGGACGGTGAGACTTGTCTCATGTACTTTGGACACGTTATCAGGAGGGATCAGTCCCTGGAGAAGGACATCATGCTTGATAAAGTAGATGGTCAGTGAAAGAGAAGACCCTCAAAAAGATGGATTGACACAGTGGCTGCAACAATGGGCTCAAACATAGCAACAATTGTGAGGATGGCGCAGGACTGCACAGTTGTACTTAGGTCAGTATGAGTCGGAACCAACTGGACAGTAGCTAACAACGTAACAAAAACAGAGACAGAAAGTAGATTAATGATTTGCCAGGGGCTGGGGGAAGGAAGGGAGTGAGCCATAGGGAGTGACTGCTAATGGGTATGGGGTTTCTTTTTGGGGTGATGGAAGTGTTATGAAATTTGATATTGGTGTGGTTATAGAATTCTATGAATATACCAAAAAAACTGAATTGTATACTTTAAAACGGTGAATCATATTTTAAGCTGTTATTTTTAAAAATATGGTGTACTTTTAATATTTACATTCAACCAATTAAAGCTTTTAGTTTTAGTTTTAAGCACACTAAAACTGCAAAAAACTTACAGAATTTATAACAATTATTCATTTCTAGTCCACCATGGTGGTGTAGTCTAGCAAAGGGAAACAAATTTAAAGTTGTGTGACGAATGTCTTTGATCTTTAACTTCTGTCACTGTGTCTCTTTGTAAGTATAACTTCATTCAGGGATAATACCGTAGGTCTTAAATTTGAGTCTTTTTCACCCTGAGGAAGTTTCTGTCAATAATAATACACATTCCTGCCAATGAGCATTTCAGAAAATATTAAAATAAGCTTAATTATGGTTCACAGATTGTTTTTTGACTATGCGGTATTTTCTCCATCTTTATTCTTTCAGTTTTGATCAAGGAATAAGCAACATCAACAGTTGGCAGTATCTGTGCAGAGTGTGTCAAAATTTTCCCATCTTTAAGGGCCTAGTTCAAACACACAGATATTTTGGGGAGCAGCCTCTAATGCAAAAGATCGCAATCAGAAGAAGGCATGTCTTTGGTAAATCATTGAACTGCATGAGTGGAACAGCACTGCCAGCAAACAAGCACCTAGCCCTTTCTATGGTCTTCACTGAGTACCCAGTGTGAAGATGCACCATGCTGGATGCTGGGATGCTGGATGCTAGGAGTGTGGAGTTTTAGGAAAGGGAGTGAAGGGGTGTTTTGGGTACATATAATAGGTAGACCCTACAGCTCATCTGCGGGCTCCAGAAGGCTTCCTGTTGTGACACTTAGCTGAGAATTAAAGAATGACACGGTATCACAGTAGCAACCTAAGATGGTAGAGATGCAGAGAAACGGAGGGATTCAAGAGACTAAAGAGTTATTCAGGAGTTTGTTATTGTTAGCTGCCATTAAATTGGCCCCTGACTCATGGCAACCCCATGCACAACAGGACTGGATCGTTGTGATCCATAGGATTTTCACTGGCTGATTTCTTCAGAAGTAGATCGCCAGATTTCTTCCTAAGCTGTGTTGGAAGCTCTCCTGAAACCTGTTCAGCAGTATCTGCTGAACACAAGCATCACAAAGCCTCCACCGACAGATGGGTAGTGGCTGCCCTTGAGGTTCACGGGCAGGGAAGCAACCCTGAGTCTCCTGCATGGAGGGTGAGAATTCTGCCACTGAACCCCCACTGTCCTCTTCAGGAGTTTAGGGCTTGTAATGTAAAAGGAAGGAGTCCCTTGGTGATGCAAATGGTTAACACACTTGGCTGCTAACCAAAATTTTGAAGGCTTGAGTCCACCCAGAGGTGCCTTGGAAGAAAGGCCTGGCAATCTACTTCCAAAAAATCATCCATTGAAAACCCTATGGAGCACAGTTAACTGTGACACACATGGGGTCTCCATGAGTGAGAAACAACTTGATGGCATCTGGTTTGATTAATATAAAAGAAAGGGGGTTGTCTTTTATGTGAGAGAGAAAGAAACTTCCATCTTGTTTAAGCTGTTACTTTGAGACTCTCAAGCAGAACTTGTATCTATACGAATGCAGATATCTTCCTAAGGAGTCTAATACTAACTCCTTGCTAACCCAAACTTCTAATCCCAAAGACAGAAAAATCAGATAAGGGTAAGGAACCCTGAAAGGCGTAGAAGTGAAAAGGTTGTTTATTACCACAAGTAATATTTTCTTTATCTTTTATTCTTCACTGAAGCAACCTATTGCCAATCTTAAAAATTGTTAGGGCTTCATCAGTCAACAAGGAAGTTGCATTTAGCCCCCATCTTGAAGGATGCAGTAGAGTCTCAGTAGTTTAAATGCATTTTGCACTGCGTTCTGCCCTCACAGAATGATGTTTTGTCACTGTTTTATGTATACCCTGTATTGCTGTTTACCCCTTCCACATCTGAAATCCTTTCTTCCCATTGAGATCATCAACTCTGGGATATGTGCAGAAGAATTATAGTTTGATATCTATTCCCCACAAAGTCTAGTAGCATTCTAAGCACACACCTGAAACAAAAAAAAACAAACTCGCCGTCAAGTCGACTCCGACTCATAGCAACCCTATAGGACAGAGTAGAACTGCCCCATAGGGTTTCCAAGGAGCGTGTGGTAGATTTCGAACTGCCAACCTTTTGGTTAGCAGCTAAGCTCTTAACCAGTGCGCCACAAGGGCTCTAAACATAGACCAGTAGTCATTAAATATTCCTTCAACTGAGTGGACAATCTCCCCCTTAATGACAAGAACCTGGTGGGAGCTGGGACACACCTGGCTCACTAAATAGCCATCGATTGAGGGAGAGTTGAAGGTCATTAGAGACAAGTATTCATCTCATTCTAGCAGTGACTGTTCAACAAGCACATCAGCACAAGGTATGCTGAGCTGGGCGTGAGGACTTACCATCCAATTAGGCCATTTTCCCTCCGGCATGTTTTCCATCCAGGACATGATAACCTTGTTAAATATACTGTTCCCAGGAGTGTCTAGCTGGGTGAGGTAACTGTTAAAGGGAAAATCTGCTTCCTGAATAAAAGGCAGCCCGTAGTACATCATGGTTCTGTCAATATTCTCCCCATTGGCTTCAGTTCCCATGAACCTGTAAGAGTTTGATGTCTTCAGTACCTGCGAGGAGACTGGGAAAGCACTCTGCAGCTGTTTATACCTGGCTCACAAGATATAAGGGCTGGATGCACACTAGTAATCATATCAGACTAGGGCTCATTGGAAAGAATAATCAAGCCAGATGACCAAGCAATGTCACGTTGGGCCCCCTGGACAGCTTCTCAGTGTCATAAATACAAAGGCTAGCCAATACCTCAGAGTAACTCAGATGCCTAAGAGTTAAGAAGCACATTTGGTTTTCAATTAATACTGTTATCTTCTTTCTAAACCTGATGAAAACTCAGTAACTTCTGTATGAATGGACACGTGGTGCCCGAGGAGGAAGGGGAAAGGGGGACAGTTGCTGACACATTGCGTGATTGCAACCAACGTCACAAAATAATTTGTGTACAAATTTTTGAATGAAAAACTAATTTGTGCCGTAAATTTTCACCTAAAACACAATACAATCGAACAAAAAAAAGACGTTGCAAATAGTTCACCTGGCAATAAACAAAGTTTGAAGCTAGTTTATTAAAGCTGAAAAAAAACAAAAACAAAAAAAACTCAGTAACTTCCAGGAAGGCTTTCTTCAGCAATTCCTGTCACTCCACTTGGAATTTACAGTATATGTCTGCATATAAGGTGAGCAGTCTCCCTGCAAAATTTCCCCATGTATTTGAGTCCTTATAAAGTTTCACCTTATTATTGGGGTGCATTCTCAAATACCGAAAATCAAATACTCTTGGAGGGAGACACAGTCACCCGAAATGGCCCCCATCAACACGCTTTAGTTGCTTGAGGCAGCGTAATAATGGATAAGTGCACAGTCTCTGGAACCTAACTGCCTCTGTTCAAATCCCATCTCTACAATTACTACTTGTGTGACCATTACCTGTACACTCAGAGCCTTAGTTTCCTCATCTGTAAAATGGGAAGAGTAATCACAGTACCTGCTTTAAGTGGGGGGAAAAACTTCTTTAACTTCTTTTCTATTGATTCTATTGGGTGATCTATATAAACATAAACCAAACCAGACCAGTTGCTGTAGAGTCAATTCTGACTCATGGCCACCTCAGAGTACAACTGTGCTCCATAGGTTTTCAAGGCTGTGAACTTTCAGAAGTAGATCACCAGGCTTTTCTTCCAAGGCACTTCTGGGTGGGTTTGAACCACCGACCTTTCAGTTAGTAGATGAACACTTAACCGTTTGCGCCACCCAGGGACTCTGATAAACATAGTAGTAGTTAAATTTATTGAGTGTTTATTATGTGCCATGTACTGTTTAATAAGAGCTTTATTACATTATCTCATTTAATTTAAAAACAGCCTTATTGGGGTATTGCTATTATCTTTTCATTAATGAGGAAACTGAGGCTTATGTTAACCAACCAGCCAAGGTCACACAGCGATAGAGCAGGATGGCAGCTCAGGCCCATCTGATTCCAAAACTGTGATCATAATCATCGTGCTCCACTTGCAGTTTAGCTGAAACATTTAGATTCATAGTGTACAAGGACACTATAAGGTCAGATATTAATGATAACAATAATAATAGTTAATGGCTAACATTTAGCTAATATGTTATCTTTTCAAATAATTTAATTTTCACAACTCCGCCTCTGAAGTAAATACTGTGATTAGCACCACTTTACAAATAAGGAAACTGAAAATCAGCAAAGTGAAGCAACTTGAGACAATATACCAGATCCTGGCATACCCAAGCTATACCCCAAGCCAAACCCACTGCTGTCAAGTCGATTCTGACTCACAGTGAACCTGTAGGTAAGAGCAGAACTGTCCCATACGGTTTCCAAGACTGTAATCTTTATGGAAAGAGACTGCCACGTCTTCCTCCTGAGCAGCGGCTGGTGGGTTCGAACCATCAACCTTTCAGTTAGCAGCCGAGCACTTAACCACTGCGCGACCAAGGCTCCTTACCCAAGCTATAGGAAACTAAATTTATGCAGGCTAGTTAAATTATAATTTTAGCCTCTTGTGTATGACTGGTTGTGGTGGCGCAATGGTTAAGTGCTCAGCTGCTAATTGAAAGGTTAGTGGTTCGAACTCACTCAGCAGCTCTGTAGGGGAAAGACCTGGCGATCTGCTTCCATAAAAATTACAGCCAAGAAAACCCTATGGGACAGTTCTACTCAGTCACATGAGGTCACTGTGGGTTGGAACTGACTTGACAGCACCCAACAACAACAATGACTGGTTGTAAGGGATAACTACAGACCACACGCAGCACCTGTGAAGAATAAACGTGTCCTTTACTTACCTGTACCTCCCAGGCTCCCTGCTGTAGGGGTCCATAGTCTGCCGGAAGCTCCGGAGAATGTCATGCATTCCCACCTGAGTGGTGGTGAAGTCATGGTACAGCTCTGAGTAGTGTGTGACCGTGTCCTTTAAAAACAGAGCAGCACAGTTACCATCATATTATGCATCAAATGCTCATACTGGGTTTACATGAACGTAGATTGTCTCCTTAAAAAGGGCTCAGTCTGAGGCACATATGCTCAAAGATGGTCTTAGTACTTCAATTCTCAAGTGGTTTTGTGGATGGGGAACACACACGACTACTTCTATTTCATTTAATGCTTAAATTATTAACTTTGTAAACCTACTAAATAATATTTCTCTAACTTAACTACTACTTACCCATTTTAGCAAATTAAACTTTCCCATTTAAACATTGATTATAAATGTATTTAACAAAAAATCCTCCTGAATATTTAATTAACATCATAAATCCAATCAACTGGATTGTCCTAAATGCTTCAGACACTTTTGAAGACAAATAAAATTATCTTAATGATTAAAGTTCTCATTATTATACTTATATTCAATCTAGTTACAAAAAATTAAATTATGCATTTGACTGTATTTCTTCATGACCTCTATCCTTTATTCTTACTGTTATTCTTACACTTTCCAAGAGTTTCAGTGATTTCACTGGTACTCATTTCTGTGCCTTACTGGGGTTACAGTCATCTTCTAGAACTCAAAGCAAAGCTTACATCTCATCCAAGCCAAGGTTGTTAAGTTGTAAATTGGGACAAGGACTGGCTGGACCATCCAAACCTCAGTTGTCATCCATTAATCTGTGTTCCTTTTACATAAGTAAACTTCCCTTGCTAGATTGAGTGATTTTTTTTTTAAATCTAGGGTTTTTCCCTGAAATTAATGTTAATGGCTAACATTTAGCTAATACATTATCTTTTTTAATAATTTAATTCTATAAGCTCTTCTTGGATAGCACACAAAACTCAGCATTCTGATCATTTGGCATGACTGGAAACTCATGCCTGCCTGATGACAGCTCATTATAATTAGCAAGGTTATTCCAAGATTTCTTCTCCAAGGAGAAGCTCTTTTCTTTGAGACAATAGAGTAATATATCACCTGTCTTTCCCTTCATTTTTCCTTTTTATTGGAAGTCATATGCAAAAAAAAAAAAATTGGCTTAATTATAACCTTCATTTCATGATATGATCTTATCACTGGCCCACGCACAACCAACCTCTTGTTAGTTAGTTAATTGATTGGCTTTAATGAAGTTGTAAGTACCCATGAATCTACTACTCAGACCAAAAACTAGAAGCTTGGCAATAAACTATGGCATTCATGTTATTTGCTTAACTTTGTAAAAAGGGTATCATGCTATTGTAATATTTGTGGATTTTTTGTTCACTAAACATTGCATTGTGAAGATTCACCCCTACTGTTGTGTGTTGCTGTAGTTCATTTATTTTGATGGAAGTATAAAATTCCACTGTGTGTATATATGAATTTGTTGTTTTGGAACACATTTTAGGACTACTGTCAATTGGCCTTGAAGAGAAAGTGACTATAGAATGGTGGACAACCAGAGGAATAGGCTGTCATCTCTCATGTGTGACATGGGGGTAAGGTTGAGAACCACTGGTGTGGAAGCACAAAGAACCCAAACTCTGTAGCTAGATAGGCTTGGTTTGGAATTCTGCTCAGCATCTCCTTAATCGCTGATAAGTTAACCTCTCTAAGATTTGCTAAATGGGGTAATAAAACCTCTCTTATAGGATGTGGAGAGGGTTAAATGAAATAAGTAAACAGACACAGCACTCAATAGATAGACATCAACAAATATTATTTCCCTTCCCTTCCATCTATGCATTCTTTAATAACTAGAAAAGAGCCTGAAAAATTAAGGCCTCCTCAACTCAGTTTGAGTGAGATGGCAAAATCACGGTGAGTAGACGTCCTTCCCATTGTCCACACTGTCTATGTTCTCAGAACCTTTGTCATTTTAAGGACTCTTAAAAGGAGCCCTGGCTCTGGAGGGAACCAATGGAAGGAAGCATCTGGACATATGCATTTGAAACTCGCCTGTATTTCCTTAAAAAAAAAATGATTCAAAGCACAATCTACAGACAGAACAGAGCCATCTCTAGTATTGGTGTCTCAAGCTTAAAAAGAAAGCATTCTGATGACATTTTCAGAGGAAGCAAAAAAAAAAAGTTTAAAACAAAACTTTACCGGACTTTGAGTCTCATTCACTTGGATCTCATTTCTCAGATGTCTTTCTTCTAGAAGAAATTTAACAGCATCGAAACTAAAGCCATCAACACCTTTTTGGAGCCAGTACTGTAGGATTTTCTAAACAGGAAGAAGCAAAGGACTTAGTTGGATTAGCTACACATTTTTATCATAATTTTTAATAAAAGTTTTGTCTGTTAATGACTTTCTATCTTCTCCACATACAAAATAAGCACAGTATCCATGTAGCATATTTTTATTTAGTGCAACAGTGTCTTACTATCATGACTAACTTAGTATAATGCAATAACTGCATTTATGGACTTCTACATCTCATTCATGAAAGTGATCATTTTAGTCACCGTGAAGAATTTAGTGGCATTCAGTATATTCACAGTGTTGTGTAACTATCACCATTATCTAGTTCCAGCCAGTTTTCATCACCCTAAACAGAAACCTGTACCCATTAAGCAGTCACTCCCCAGCCCTTCTGTCTCCTCAGCCCCTGGTAACCACACATCTGCTTTCTTTCTCTATGGATTTGCTTATTCTGGAGATTTCACATACATGGAATCATACTGTGATCTTTTGCATCTGGCTTCTTTCACTCAGCATACAGTATAATGCTTTCAAGATTCATCTACGCTGTAGCAGGTATTAGTACTTCATTTTTTTATGACTGAATAATATTCCATTGTGTGTATAGACTACATTTTTATAATCTATTCACCTATCCATGAACATGTGGGTTGTTTCCACCTTTTAGCTATTGTGAATAGTGCTGCTAAGAACATTCGTGTACAAGTTTTTGTTTGAACACTTGTTTTCAATTCTTCCAGGTATAGTAGAATTGCTGGGTCATATGGTCATCCTATGTCTAACTTGTTGAGGAACCTCCAAACTTTTTACACTGTGGCTACACCATTTTACATGGCCACCAACAATGTACAAGTGTTCCAGTTTCTCCACATTCTCATCAACACTTGTTATTTTCTTTCATTATTATTTTTTTATTACGTAGTATCTAATTGTGGTTTTGATTTGCATTTCCCTAAAGACGGTACTTAACAACAACAAATGACAAATTATGTTGAGCATCTTTCCATATGCTTGTTGGCCATTTGTATATCTTCTTTGGAAAAATGTCTGTTTAAGTTCTTTGCCCATTATTTACTTGTTTGTCTTTTTGTTATGGAGTTGTAGGAGTTCTTGGTAGATTCTAGACACTAAACCTTTATCAGATGTATGATATGCAATATTTTCTCCATTTTCTGGGTTTTCTTTCCACTCTCTTGTTAGTGTCCGTTTTGCACAAACATTTTTAATTTTGGTGAAGTCCAATTTATCTTTTTTCTTTCGTTACTTTTGCATTTGGTATCGTATTAAGAAGCCATTGCCAAATCCAAGATCATGAAGATCTACCTTTATATTTCCTTCTAAAATTTTTATAGCTTTGTTGTTGTTGTGTGCTGTAGAGTTGATTCTGACTCATGGAAACTCTGTATGACAGCGTAGAACAGTCCCATAGGGTTTCCTAGGCTGAAAAAAAATTTTTAAATTGTGTTTTAGGTGAAAGTTTAAAGTACAAATTAGTTTTTCATTAAAAAATTTATACTCAAGTTGTTTTGTGACATTGGTTGCAAGCCCTGCAATGTGTCAGTACTCTTCCCCTTTCTCTTTCCACCCTGGGTTCTCTGTGTCCATTTGTCCAGTTTTCCTGTCCCTTCCTGCCTTCTTGTCTTTTCTTCTGGGCAGATGTTGCCCATTTGGTCTTGTATACGTGACTGAACTAAGAAGCACGTCCCTCATGTGTGTTACTGTTTGTTCTATAGGCCTATCTGATCTTTGATTAAATGGTGGACTTCGGGAGTGGCTTCAGTTTTGAGTTGGCAAGGTGTCCAGGGGCCATTGCCTCAGGGGTTCTTCCAGTTTCTGTCAGACCAGTAAGTCTGGTCTTTTTTTGTGTGTGAATTTGAATTTTGTTCTATATTTTTCTTCTGTTTTGTCTGGGACCCTCTATTGTGATCCCTGTCAGAAAAGTCAGTGGTGGTAGCCAGGCACCATCTAGTTCTTTTGGGCTCAGGCTGATGAAGACTGTGGTTCAAGTGGCCCATTAGTTCTCTGGACTGATGTTTTCCTTGTGTCTTTGGTTTTCTTCATTCTCCTTTGCTCTGAATGTGATAGGACCAATAGAGGTATCTTAGATGGCCACTCGCAAGCTTTTAAGACCCCAAGTGCTACTCACCAAAGTAGGATGTAGAACATTTTCTTTATGAAGTGTGTTATGTCAATGGACCCAGATTTCCCCTGATAGGCTGAAAACTTTATGGGAGCAAATCACCAGGTCTTTTCTCCCACGGAGCAGCCGGTCGGTTTGAATCACCAACATTTTGGTTAGTAGCTAACCACTTAACATTGCACTTCAGTTTAGGTATTTGATCCATTTTGAGTTAATTTTTATACATGGTGTGTGCTAAGATCCAACTTCATTCTTTTGCATGAGGATATCCACTGGTCCCGGCACCATTTGTTGAAGAGAGTATTCTTTCCTTATTAAATGCTCTTGGCACTCTGGTCAAAAATCAATTGGCCATAGATGTATGGGTTTATTTCTGGACACTCAACTCTATTCCCTTGGTCTATATGTCTATTCTTATGCCAGTATCATTTACTATAAAACTTTAGTTTTATAGTAAATTTTGAAATGGGAAAGTGTGAATCCTCCAGCTTTATCCTTCTTTTTTGATACTGTTTGGGTCTCTTGCAATTCCAAGTAAATTTAAGGCTTGGCTTTTCCATTTCTGCAAAACAAGGCCATTGGGAAGAGGCAGAGGAAGATGGCAAAGTGAGTGGACACCCTTATTCACTCCCCAAGCAACTAACTCACTGAACAAAGAATAAAAACAAGCACAAACTGAGATCTCAAACTCCAGACAGCAGCTGAAGAATTGGAGAATTGGAGTCCAGAAGCAGAAGAGAGGAGGAATGGGATTAGCACAGAAACTGAGAGAGTCTACTCCCTAACATCAGGAACACACGCTCATCATAGCCATTTTGAGATGGGACTGGGTAACACCCCAAGCAGGGAACACAGAAAGGGAGCTTATCTGAGGAAGCTCTAGCCAGATTTTTTTTAAGGTGGCACAAATAGGCCATAGGAGTTCGTGGGCCATGCAAGTGGGAGGGGGTGAGGAAGACCTTAATGCTATGTGAGAGTACAGCTGAACCTTGCTGAGGCCCCAGATGAACTGCTCTAGGTCCTGGAAGAGCTTCAAGGGCAACGGAGGGAGGGAAACAGTCTAGACTGACAGCCAAGCTGGAGGCAGCCGCCAGTGGGACACTGTGGATAGTGAGTATGCCAGTGCAGGGGCGCTAGTGAGGGAAAGGCTTAAAAAACCCTCACTATCACCACAGTAAAGTTGATCTCCACTGCACACAACAACTGAGGTGTCCAGTGACCACCCCCTTGCATATGTATTGAAGCCCAGAGATCAAGCATACAGATCTCTTGAACCAATGTGGGGGGTTGGGGGGGCGTAACGGGGAGAACCTAAGGATAAGAGTGCCATCTAGTGGTTCACAGGAGAAGGTACCAAACTGCTGAGACATTCTATCTAACAGGAAACCAGTGGGGCTGAGGCGTACTGCATCCTGGGGTTCCCGGGCCTGTGAATCTTGGAAGGAGTGGTCTGCTACATCTTCCTCCCATGGAGTGGCCAGACTTTCAGTTAGCAACTGCACAATTAGATGCTCTTCCACCAGGGCACCCAACCAGAAAATTTTCCCACAATAAACAGAATAAAAAATTTAAAGAAAAGATAACCAAATGGCTCAAGTTCAACAAAAACTACTAAAAACACAAAAGCACCAGAGAAGGAACACTCAAAAGCAAAACATGAAGAAGAGGACATCTCTCCTATAGAGGCCAGAATGATGCAAAGAATTGATAATTTTCAGACTATGGTGCTAAGTATGTTTAAAGAAAGCAAAACATACCCAGAAGACAAACTGGCAGAGTTTAGGAAGCAAATGGAGGAATAAAAGGAGGGATTCAACAAGGAATCTGAAAACATAAAAGAAAACCAAAGAGAACTACTGAAACTGAAGAATAAAACATCTGAATTAGAAAAAGCAAGAGAAACACCTACAATAGAGTCAAGCAAGCAGAAGATAGACTATCTGAATTAGAAGACAAAATAACTGAACTTACCAAATCTCAAGAAAAACGAGAGAAAAGAACAAAGAAAAGTGAACAAACTCAAAAAGAAATGTGGGATTCAATTAAGAAATCTAACATTAGAATCACTGGAATCCCAGAGCACCATGACAACAATAAAGGCATAGAAACAATATTCCAAGACATAATCAGACAGAATTTCCCAGACCTGCACAGAGAACCAAGCCTGAAAATATAGGAAGCTACACAAGCCCCAATCAGAAGAGATGCAAAAGGATCAACTCCACAACATATCTTAACATAATTCTTGAAAACTAAAGAAAGGAGAGAATTTTGAAAGCAGCAATTTAATGTACCAAGTGTCACGCGAGTTTCTCCTCAGAAACTCTAGAGGCCAGAAGACAATGGAGTGACATACATAAAATATTGAACCGAAACAATTGCCAACCAAGAATACTTTACCCAGCAAAGTTGTCATTCAAAAATGAGGGGGTAATCAAGACATTCCCAAACAAACAAAAGCTCAGGGAATTTGTCACTATCAGACCAGCTTTGCAAGTATTGCTCAAGTGAGTACTCCAAATGGAAAGGCAAGAACATTAAGAAAAAAGTACAAACTAAATCTATTGAATATAGGTTGTATATTGATGTTAATGGAGACACACCAAAAGAAATGGAGAAAGAAGGAGCATATCAGGAATAGATCTATTATGTTAAGGTTACATGTTAACAGTTACTCATATGCTAGATGCTATAGTAATTATAAGTCATGTAATGTAACATATGTGGTAACCACTAAGAAATCACTAAGAAGAAAACTCAGGAGAAAAGAAGCAAGTTAACAAAAAGGCTCATCACAAGAAAGTACCCAAATACCAACAAAAACAGAAAAATCAGTATAATAAACAAACAAGACACAAAGCACGCATAAAACAAATAACAA